TAGTCGGCCCCCCCCCCCCCCCCCCGGTTGTGATTGAACCTTAATGCCTTGTAGTTTTTCTGTGTACCAACCTTTGGCTTGTCCCTGGAGATCCTTGTTCCCAGTCTGCCCTGAACTTTGACTTGTTCCTGGTGATCCCAGTCTTCTGTCTGTCCCTATCCTTTGGCTATTCCCTGGAAATCCCAGTCTTCAGATTGTCCCTGGAAGTCCTGGTCCTCTGTCCCTGACCTTTGTTTTGTCCCTTGTGTGTCTGCAACCTGCCCAGAACTCTGGCCTTGTCAACGATTCTTGGCTGTTAGGTGAGTTGGGTGAACCTAGGGATTGTGACCTGGGGTCAGCAGGCAGCCAAGCCCATCTCCACCATCAGGAGCTCTGGTGAATACCGTCTGGCTCTTAGAATCCACATCCTGGGGGACCTCATGCCACCTATATAGCATTGCAGCACCCTGCCCTCTACTTTGTCCTACCAGCCTTTTCTGTCTTCCACCGCCTCATTCAGTTCCCCTGCTTGTACTCCAGCTCTAAGAGTCATCAGCCTACACTGCTTGGACCCTTTTCTCTAAGTGTCCCTGCCAGTGTAGTAGAAAGGGTCCACATACCCGACTCCAATTCATACCTGTGAGCCCCGATCTGTGCCAACACTACTGCCCCCTTCCACAAACTCATATTTCACCGAATTCTGCAGGAAATTCAATCTGTTTATGGCCAGCTTTATTCTGGATTGTTAGCTTTGTTTACTGAGCCCAATGCAGGAAAAATTGTTTTATTTCTATGACTTATTGGAAAGCACAGTGGTGTAGTGGTTAGCACTTCTGCCTTGCATCACTGGGGGTCCCTCGCCAGGTCGCTATCTGCAAGGAGTTTGCATGTCCTCCATGTGCTTACATGGGGTTCCAAGTGTCCTAAGCTGCATTTATGTCAATAAATAGACGCATTTGTTCTGCATCTCGAGTGCCGGTGTCCATATATCTGTTTGTGCATGAAAACGGTTGCCATCCGTTGACCACTACTGCACCCACTTCATCCACATGGAAAAAGAGGTCAGGAGTGCGATGGGTTCATGGACTGGTGTATGGGGTTCCTCCCACCCTCTAAAGACATGCTGGAAGGTTAATTGGCTCCAGTCTAAATTGGCCCTGTATGTATGCATGTGAGATATGGACCTTAGATTGTAAACTCCTTAAGGGCAGGGGCTGATGTCAATGTGCAACTATGTAAAGCTCTGCGTAAATTGTTGGCGCTATATAAATACCTATAATAGATAGAAATATGATGTGATGGATGACAAGGCTTTAATAAGTGCAGGAAAAAACAAACCAGCAGAGCAGAAAACCAACAGCGTTATTTATTATCTAAGAGCCACCACAATTGTTCTTTCTTATTGTTATAAAAAAGTGATTTCTTGTGAACATTTGCATCATCTACACATTTGATAGGTTAGACGGAGTCCCCCTTACATACCATTTGTGTAGACTGTGCTGCTGCACAAGGGCCCTCAGGGACTTAGGGGTCCATTTTTACTAGCTGTGGGTCAGATTGGTGCTAGAACCCCTCCCATTGTCACGTAGACTTGAACACAGCTCACTGCTATCTAGTTGTCAATTGATACAAGGTGAATAGGTATTTTTACTTGCAAGTAGTTGAATGGGACAAGACAATCATGTTAGATAGAGTCCCTCATACACAACATTTGTGTAGACTATGCCACTATACAAGGGCCCTTTGGGACTTGGTGGTCCATTCTTACAATATTTGGGTCAATTTGGTGATATAAACCTCCCCCACTCCTCAAGGTCATGTAGACTTGGAACCAGCCCACTATTATCTAGATGCCAATTGATACAAATTGAATAAGCCTTTTACATGGCAAGTAGTTGAATAGGCCAAGACAGTCAGGTTAGACATAGTCCATCATATACCATTTGTAGACTGTGTCTCTGTACTAGAACCCTCTGGGACCTTGGGGTCCATTTTTACTAAATGTGGTGGGGTCAGACTGATATTAGACACCCCCCCACCTCCACCACCTTTCCCTCAATGGGACAAGACAATCATTTTAGAGTCCCTCATACACAACATTTGTGTAGACTATGCTACTATACAAGGGCCCTTTGGGACTTAGTGGGCCATTCTTACTAGATTTGGGTCAGTTTGGTGATATAAACACCCCCCCCCCCCCCTCCTATATGTCATGTAGACTTGGACACAGGTCCCTATTATCTACTTGTCAATTGATACAAATTGAATAAGTCCTTTACACGGCAAGTAGTTGAATAGGCCAAGACAGTCAGGTTAGACAGAGTCCCTCACACACCACTTGTAGACTGTGTCTCTGCACAAGAACCCTCTGGGACCTTGGGGTCCATTTTTACTAAATGTGGGTCAGGCTGATGCTAGACCCCGCCCCCTGCCTCCACCACCTTTTACTTCCCCACTGTCCCGCAGACTTGGATACGTCTCACTACTGTCTAAATGGCAATCGATACAAAGTGAATAAGTCTTTTACATGACAAGCAGTTGAACAGGCCAAGAGAGTCAGGTAACATAGAGTCCCATTACTCACCATTTGGATAGACTGTGCCGCGGCACAAGGGCCCTCAGGGACTTAGGGGTCCATTTTTACTAGATATTGGTCAGATTGGTGCTAGAACCCTTCTCATTGTCATGTAGACTTGACCACAGCTCTCTACTATCTAGTTGTCAATTGATACAAAGTGGCAAGTAGTTGAATGGGGCAAGACAGTTAAATTAGACAGAGCCTTCATCCATGCCATTTGTGTAGACTTTGCCACTGCACAAGGAGTCTTTGGGACTTATGGGTCCATTTTTACAATATGTAGGTCAGATTCGTGCTAGAACCCCTCATTCCTTCCCCGTTGTCACAAGACATGGACATGGCTCAGTACTATCTTGTTGCCAGTAGATACAAAGTGAATAAGTATTTTACATGGCAAGTAGTTGAATCTATTGAGTTGTAACTAGATGTGGGCCAATTGGTGCTAGAACCCTTCAACACCATCCCCCTCCCCC